GTGTGGGAGGTAGGCAGGCGCCACTTTCTTAGCCACTGGCTCTACTCCCCAGCAGATAGGAGGCCCTGGAGCCTGTGTCTCCATTGAGGATTTGCCGGCATCAGATAGGTCCTAGACTTTTAGAAAACAACTCCCTCTAAGAGTTGGAGAGACCCTAAGACTGGGTGGTTCTGCTCTGCTCCCTGTGAGGCAAGACCTGGGGAAGAAGGATATTTGGGGGTCTTTGAATGACCGAGGGAGTTGCTAAGCCCAGCCTCAAGTGTCAGGGAAGGGTTTGCGGGTGAAGCACAAGGGAATTTGATCTGTTAAGATAAAGAAGATGGTCTTTAGTGAAGAAGACATGTGGAGACTGGCTGAGGAGACCAGGCAGCTCCAGGCCCTTCCAATCTTCCCTAACTGTTCCCACCTGAGAGGCCTGGCCCAACACTAGGCCCTTCCAGGGCCTCATGCAGTCAATGTGTATGCCAAAAGTGATCTAATGCATCCCACCATGACCGTCTCTGTCCAGACAATCACAGGATGCAGAGAAGCGGGGAAGGAAGGCGCTCCCCCACCCCCACCCCAGGGCCTTGCCCTGCACTCTTCAGAAGTGGATCTTCAGGATTCTGGGCTCAGCCTCATTGGGGCAGCTCTACAGAAGACGTCAATCTTAGCTAGAAACTGTCAGCTCTGGGTTTCCTCCCGCTGGCTCCCCAGGCCCCTTAGCTCAGCCTCAGACTTATCAGAATCCTCCAGCTGCCTAGACCCCCAGCCCCCTCAACCACCTCCCCAGCATGACTCAGCGAATCTTCCCTTGGTGGGGAAAAAAACAAGGATGAGAAATCACAATTGTCAGATTACAAAGCCCCAACTGTAGGGCAGGCCCTCGGCTGAGAGATAAGGGGTCTGCCCAACACCCAAAACCCTTGTGCAGATAAGCCCTCTCCCAGAAGCCCCAGGCTGCTGCAGGTACGAGCTGGGACATCTGGGAGGAGAGGCAGAGCAGTTGGATGGCCCTTGGTGACCCTACAAGTGGCTCTGTCACTGCCCAGCTCCCTGGGCAAAGAGGAAGCCCTGGTGTTGCCATCCACCCCCGTCCACGGGGCAAGAAAGAGAAGGGCGGGTGCCTTTCTAGAAAGTTCGAAGGGAGGGTACCCCACAAATGCCCTTCAAAGATAGGGTGTGGGTGTCCCAGTACCAGCTCAGCCTGCAAACTGCTCTTTACAGGACATTAGTCGCACCCTCTCTGGGCAGTTTAGCAGTTGCTGGGTTGAAGAAGAGAGGCCTGGCCTCAGGGACCAACCAGGCTGGTAGCATGCAGGCTGGGGAAATCATTCCCAACCTGGAGACGTGGGGGTTGGGAGTGTCTTTGGAGGATGGGGTGAGGGTGAAGGTGGCTCCCAGTTGAGCTGGTAGCCTTGGAGACCTGGGAGGGTGGGGGTGGGGGTGTCCTAGCTTTCCAAGCTAAAGTCAGCATGTGGGGACCTCAGGAGACCCTCTGATCATGAGCAGGAGGCTGGCAGAGGGAAAGGTGCAGATAACAGGCTGGGAGTTGGACTCTCTGCTACCCTCTGTCACCATAATGCTCATTTCAAAATGCAGGCTGTGTCCTGAAAGCTAAGGTGCCCACTGTAAGAAGGCGTGACCCCAGGCTCTAGCCTCGTTTCCCAGGCTTTGGGGACCAGTGACTGCTGGAATGGAGGTATAAGTGGACGTAAAGCTCAACACAAGGCTTGTGTGCAGGGCACAAGATCCACTTGTCCAGTGTCCCAGCCCTAAGGACTCTCCTGTCATATGTCTCCTGCAGATTCAAGTTCCCCAAATCTCTGCCATGGCTTCCTCTTCTGGATTTGTGTTTTCTGGAGCTGCAGAAGGGAAAGAGCTAGTCCAGACGAGGTCTCCAGATCCTCAGTGTGTAACTTTGCAAAACATAGACTGCTGGGCTGCAGAGATGAGTAAGCAGTCAGGAGCACTTGCAGCTCTTACAAAGAACCCAGCTTTAGTCTGGGCACCCACACGGAAATTCTCAACCTCCTGGAGCTCCAGTCCCAGAGGGTCTGAGACCCTCTTCTGGCCACTGCTGGAACTGCATGCGCATAGCACACAGACAAACACCTGTACACAAAAAAAATATAAATACATCTTAGCAAAGCAAAACTACTCGGCTTTGGGGTTGAAGCACTAGCATAGTGGAGGCTCTGTGTTCCAACCCCAGCACCGCATAAAACAAAACAACAAAACTGGAACTGTTTATTGTGTGTGTAGCTGGCCCAAGGCCGGAACCAAAGAGCCATGGGAAGCTGATTGGCCTCAAGCTGATCACAGCATTGCTTACTGTGATGGTAAATGCTTGTTTGTCATTTTGATGGGTATGGAATCAACTGTGGGACAAGTCTCTGGGAACACCTAGGAGGCATTTTCTTGATTGCATCCACTGGAGTAGGAAGACCCATCTTGAAGAGAGACGGGTGGCACCTCCTGCCAGAGGCCCAGATATAAGGAGGTTGGAAGAAAATGTTTTTGGTTTTCTTTTTTTGTTGTTGTTGTTGTTTTGTTTTTTGAGACAGGGTTTTTCTGTGTAGCCCTGGCTGTCCTGGAACTCACCCTGTAGCCCAGGCTGGCCTTGAACTCAGAAAGCTTTTGGTTTTCACAAGCTTATTTTTCTATCTTATGCTGGCAAGTGCATCTACACGGGGTTGGAGGTCATCTACACTATTGCTGCCATCCTTTACTGACATTAAGGCCAGCTTTTTTGGCCTTCTATGATGGACCGAAACCAGTGGCTCTCCATGAGTACTGCAGGTCTTCAGTGCTATACTGGGACAGGCCAGTCCCGGGGCCTGGGTAGCTTCTGATTCTCAATGTCTCTGTTGAGAAGATGGCAACTGTTGGATGATGCACACACCATTGTGGAACCAAACCTAGCAATAATATATGTTCATTTATTGTGTCTGCGCCTCTAGAGCAGAGTTTCTCAACCTGTGGGTCGTGACCCCTTTGGGTAGAATGACCCTTTCACAGGAGCCACCTAAGACGGTTGGAAAACACAGATATTTGCATTATGATTCCTAACAGTAGCAAAATTGCTGTTATGAAGTAGCAATAAAAATAATTTTATGGTCGGAGGGGGCAGGTCACCACAACAGGAGGAACTGTATTAAAGGGCCACAGCATTAGGAAGACTGAGAACCATGGGGCTAAAGAACCCTGGCACACTCACAGTAGCACAAAGGTGGTGGTAACCCACAGCCCACTGACTAGTTGCAAATGTGCGTTATGATGGATATTGTCCTGCCCTGAAAGGGAAAAAAAACATTCTGACATGTGTTACAACAGATAACCTTAGAGAAACCACAGTACATGAAGGAAGCCAGTCACAAAAGGCTAGGGCTGTAGGATCCTTCCCAGGGTGCCTAGAGGTGGTCCTAGAGGTAGAGTAGAATGGGGACCCACCAGTAGGATTAGCATATGCAAGAAGCCAGTTGACAAAACCGCACTAGAAGACCTTTCTCTAGTAGGGCTACAGGAAATAGAGCATGCTCAGAAAAGCCTGCCACATACAAACACAGGAGGGGCAGTGTTGTGCAGCATCGTAAGTCTTGTAGCCCAGCGTTTCTGAACACAAGCATTTACCCAGTTCAGCAACTCATAACCATTCTCAGGGATGGAGGGCAGGGGTATGGGGAGAGGGTTTGGGTTCTGTCTTTTTGTTTGTTGTTTTGTTTTCTTATGTACATCAGTGTTTTGCCTGCATGCATGTCTGTGTGAAGGCTTCAGATCCCCTGGAACAGGAGTTACAGACAGTTGTGAGCTGCATGTGGGTGCTGGGAATTGAACCTGGCTCCCCTGGAAGAACAACCAATGCTCTTAACCATTGAGCCATCTCTCCAGCCTGAAAGAACCCTTTCCTTCCTCTCTCTCTCTCTCTCTCTCTCTCTCTCTCTCTCTCTCTCTCTCTC